TCAAAAATAGTAGAAGATGTGCCTGAAAGTGAAAGGTGCAGATTGGTTGAGACTTAAAGGACCACTATAGGCACCCAGACCACTTCAGCTTAATGAAGTGGTCTGGGTGCCTGGTCCATCTAGGGTTAACCCTTTTTTCTATAAACATAGCAGTTTCAGAGAAACTGCTATGTTTATAATAGGGTCAATCAAGTCTCTAGTGGCTGTCTCATTGACAGCCGCTAGAGGCGTTTCCGCGTTTCTCACTGTGAAAATCACAGTGAGAAGACGCCAGCGTCCATAGAAAAGCATTGTGAATGCGTTATAGTGGTCCTTTAATGTAGATTTTGGTTTTCTCGCATACTATCAAACTTTTTATAAACACACATCTTCATGTTAGTTTTAAACTCCTTTGTTGTCATGGATTAACAAGAATGATAAGCAAGGTATTCACAGTAAGTATTGTCAATAGTGATAACGTGGAGGCTTATGAGTAAGTATGTATGTTACATGACATTTTTGATATTTAAAGTAAATCAAATTCAAAGAAAAGAAAGTATACAATAACATATATTAAAACAATCTAACTATTTGTGCACTCTTGTGTTTAGAACAGCATGATAGATGAGGTCCAACACCTCAGTATGTCATGGTAGATGTATCATGGGTGGGGAGGTGAGAGTCATCTTTTTACAACCTAAGGTTTGCATTATATAGCTATGGTGGATTGACACTGGTCAAGTACCAGTCTGTGAATTCAAAAGCAAATTTCATTTTTGATTGTGGACTTGTCTCGTGAACGAATATAAGCATGCCAGGTGATAAAGAATTGTTTCTGTTAAGTGCTTTTATTGAGTGAGGCCTCTATCCAGTTCAGATGGAACAGGATGGTTAGGTTTGTTTTTAGTAAATATATAAATGGGTTGGAAGAAGTAATCCATTGATGAAATGTGCTTTTTTGTGGCGCAGCTAAGATCACGTGGGTCATATGGAACATAGAAACATAGAATGTGATCGCAGATAAGAACAATTCGGCCCATCTAGTCTGCCCAATTTTCTAAATACTTTAATTAGTAACTGGCCTTATCTTAAGTCTAGGATAGTCTTATGCCTATCCCACACATGCTTAAACTCCCTCACTGTGTTAACCTCTAACACTTCAGCTGGAAGGCTATTCCATGCATCCACTAGCCTCTCTGTTATGTAATACTTTCTGAAATTATTTTAAAACCTTTGCCCCTCTAGTTTAAGACTATGTCCTCTGGTTGTGGTAGTTTTTCTTCTTTTAAATAAAGTCTCCTTCTTTACTGTGTTGATTCCCTTTATGTATTTAAATGTTTTTTATCATATCCCCCCTATCTCGCCTTTTTCTCCAAGCTATACATGTTAAGATTAGAGTTGAACCCGGAGTGTAAAGTTCAGGTTCGTACCGAACATTAGGTTTTTTGGATTCCGGACCCGAACACGGACATATCAGTGTATGTCCGGGTTGGAGTTCGGCGATTTAATGGCAGCCAATCAACAAGCGTTTGACTCATGTGCCCTTAGAAGCCATCACAGCCATGCCTACTAAGGGCATGGCTGTGATTGGCCAGTGCAGCATGTGACCCAACCTCTATATATAAGCTGGAGTCGCGTAGCGCCGCACGCACATGCGGTCTTATTAGTGTACGGAGAGGATGCTGCCGCTGATAGGGACAGCTTAGGAAAGAATTCTGCAAACTAGTACATTAGTGGGGTGTGGTGCACTTCATATCTGAGAGTCAAATAGAAGCTTCAAATACCGCAGTTACATCGGAGTTTTAAAAAGTCAATTTTTTTGGTGCACTTCATATCTGAGAGTCAAATAGAAGCGTCAAATACTGTTGTCACATTGCATTTTTAAAACTTAAAATTTTTTGGGTGCTAAAAAGTACATTACTGGGGTGCACTTCATTTCTGAGAGTCAAATAGAAGCGTCAAATACTGCTGTCACATTGCAGTTTAAAAATTTTAAATTATTTAGGTGCTAAACTGCTAAATAGTATTTTGTAAAAATTCTAATTTTCTGGGTGCTAATCTGCTAAATAGTACATTTTAGGCTTGCGGTGCACTTCATATCTGAGAGTCAAATCGAAGCGTCTAATAGTGTGCTTACAGCGCAGTTGTAAAAATTCAAATTTTCTTGGTGCTAATCTGATAAATAGTAAATTTTGGGGCGTGCACTTCATATCTGAGCGTTAAATAGAAGCGTCTAATAATGTGCTTACAACACAGTTGTAAAAATTCAAATTTTCTGGGTGCTAATCTGCTAAATGGTACATTTTGGGGCCTGCTCTTCATATCTGAGAGTCAAATCAAAGCATCTAATAGTGTGCTTACAGCGCAGTGGTAAACATTCTTATTTTCTGGGTGTTCATCTGCTAAATAGTACATTTTGTGGCCTGCTTTTCATATCTGAGAGTCAAATTGAAGCGTCTAATAGTGTGCTTACTGCGCAGTTGTAAACATTCTAATTGTTTTGCTGCTAATCTGCTAAATAGTGCATTTTGGGGCCTGCTCTTCATATCTGAGAGTCACATCGAAGCGCCAAATAGTGCGCTTACTGCGCAGTTGTAAACATTCTAATTGTTTTGCTGCTACTCTGCTAAATAGTACATTTTGGGGCCTGCTCTTCATATCTGAGAGTCAAATTGAAGCGTCAAATAGTGTGCTTACTGCGCAGTTGTAAACATTCTAATTGTTTTGCTGCTAATCTGCTGCTTACATTGGAGTTTTAAAAAGTAAAAACATTTTTTGGGTGCTAAATTGTATATTTGGGGTGTTCATTTCATATCTGAGATTTAAATCGAAGCGTAACTTTGATTCGAATTTACTACATCAGTCATTTGTAATATTGTCTCACACCTACAACACTTGTTACACAGATCTAAGTGATAGAAAACAGATTGATATTTTCTCCACTAGAAACTACCAGATAACAAGCTGCTATATTTATCAATAGCTAAGAGGTACTTCAACACTATTGTAATTCTGGGGCAATACCCTCACAAGTCAAACTGAGAGGTCAGTTTATAGGGAAAACTGTTGCCTGGATACAATTCTAAAACAATTTCCATATGTCCTTTGCAGACTTTACATGCTGAAAAAACACAGGTGCCAACTGCTGTGGCTTTCTGCAGTGTGCATACCGGCAAGGAGGGCAGGGTTGAGGAGTGGGTGGAAGATGATGAGGTCCTAGACCCCAAATGGAATCAAGGTCATGCGAGTGACGTGTGCAGTTTGGAGGAAGAGGCACTGGCACAGCATAAGAGGGAGCTGGGTGCAAAAGTGGAGCGGCTGTCCCCTAGCGCTCGTCGGCATGTATTAGCTCGAGAATTACCAGTTATCCAAGTAATACATGTAGCGATCAAAGGATCTATAATAGAGTTGAGTGAACCCGAACTGCAAAGTTAGGGTTCGTACCAGATTTAACGATCCATTCGTAGTTTCACAGTCAGTTGGCAGTCTGGTGACCAGGACCCAGACACTGTCTGGGCGGCGGTCGGATGACCGGGACCCAGTATGCCTGATGTTGAAGTTAGGAGTCACAGTGTGGAATGGATTAGCAGGGTCTGGTGCAGGGTAACCGCACGCCCCCTAGTGTTGAGCACCAGCGTTTGTGAGGCCACATACCAGGACCCCAGCTTCAGTAAAAAGAGTACTGGATACCAGAAGCCATCACCAGACTGATCTGCAATTTGGAACAGGATGTGACATTCACTGTAGCGGCTGTGCACGCGTTTGGCGTTCTCACCCTGCTGCTGCTGCTCGCCTGTCTGCCCTGCAGCATAAATTTGGCCTTCCCGCTCACCGCCTCATGAGACGGTGCGAGCAGCAGCAGGCGTAGTTGAGTTCAGCTGCAGCACACACGGGTCAGTGGTTCTGCACCAGACTTCCCTCCAATAGATCAGAGTTAAAGGATTTCAAGTGGACTCATTACAATTACAGGGCCTCTATAGAGTCCTTGTAACGGACCGTTTTGCACACAAGGGGTAGAAACAGTTTAGTAGATCTTCCCCTTCCAGAGATGCAGGCACAGCTACTGCAGAACACCAATCCGCTGAACAGGAAACCATACGAATGCTGTAAACAGCCGAATAGGAAAAACCATACGAATAGGTTTACACTCCTAGCAGTCAAACTGGAACAGCGTACAATAAATCCCCCCAAGAACGAGACAAAGCTCCGTGTTGAGGGTGAAGCAGTTAACAGACAGAGCTGTGGGTTTATTGTGCTTATGTACACATTCTTACACATTAGTACCACCCACAGGGTTTTGGAACACAACCAATAAACACATACAATACACTCAGACACTCCCACACAAATTCCTCCCCTCTGCATGTGATTCAATTACCTTACACAATGAGTAATGTAATTAAGCACAAGCAGAGAAATACAATTTTTCCACATTATTCATAACTTGAAAAGTATGCATCACATTCAGAATCAGCATACTCCAAATACAAACATACGTCAAAATCATACAAATTGGTCCAGTGGTTCAAAAAATAGATCGTATTCCTTTGTGACCACAGGAAGCATGGCTTTTCTGCCCAAAACCAGTTCCACAGAGTCTTCTATCCTGGAGATAATTAGAAGTAATCCAATTATCTCCAAAGACAGAGGCAAAACTCCATTGAACACATGGCAGCAAAAAGACAGTAAAATACAGTAAAATACACAAGGTTACATTTATGACATAAAATAAAGACATGCAACATATGCCCAGATAGCTTAGGTCTGAGCGCACATTAATACTGAATGGCGCTCAGACCACAAACACATACAGTTCAATTGCCATGGAGCCAAAGTCTTTTATTACATGAATAGGCTCCATGGCATACCTATCTGGGTTATATGAGTTCATTCAGTAAATCCGAGAATCTACCGAACACTGGGCAGAAAAGCACGAATAAGTCCAAAGGCAGCAGGCGAGCAACCAGGCTTGTCCAATGCAATGTGGCGAGATTGCTCTCGTCACAGTCCTGTATTGTTATTTGTCGTCACTACCTTCCCGCGTCGGGAGTGGGTCATTTGCGTGCCTGCTGCCTTCTTTGCATGCGGTAGCCATTTCTCAGGGTCCCTGTACGGAATGGAACCATGATTCCCCGTTACCCGTGGTCACCATGGTAGGCACAGAAACTGGCATCTGAAGTTGATAAGGATGACATCCGCATGCAAAGTCGCCGCCACGGGGATGTGCGATTGGCCCAAGGTTCTCTAGAGTCAACAAAGTGCCTGCACACCTATAATGTCAACAGCTACTCTGCGGAACAGAGTTGTCTTTTTTTATATGTCCCAATATTTTGGGGGCTACCCTAATAAAAAAAAAAATATATATATATATATATATATATATCTATATATATATATATATATATATATATATATATATATATATATATATATATATATATATATATATATAAAAAACAGTGTTGGCTACCTCCTCCTCCTCCTCCACCGCTGCTTCCACCTACACCGCCATGGTCACCGCCTCCTCAACCTATGGGTCACTTAGTATAAACTATGTACACATTAGCAGAGGCTTGTGAAGGCCTTTTCTCCATGCATCAGGACTGCAAGAAATGCACCGTAGGCCGCAAATGTTTCTTTTTTTGTATGTCCCAATATTTTGTGGGCTACCACAATTAAAAAAAACATAAAAAACAGTGTTGGCTCATCCTCCTCCTCCACCGCCACAGTCACCGCCTTCTCAACCTATGGGTCACTTAGGATAAACTATGTACACATTAGCAGAGGCTTGTGAAGGCCTCTTCTCCATGCATAGGAGTTGATTATTTCTCCATGCATCAGGACTGCAAGAAATGCACCACAGACCACAAATGTTTCTTTTTTTGTATGTTCCAATATTTTGTGGGCTACCACAATTAAAATAAAAAATATATATATATTTCCTCCTCCTCCTCCTCCTCCTCCTCCTCCTCCTCCACCGCCGCTTCCACCTACACCACCACGGTCACCGCCTCCTCAACCTATGGGTCACTTCGTATAAACTATGTACACAATAGCCGAGGCTTGTGAAGGCCTTTTCTCCATGCATCAGGAGTTGAGCTCAGTTTGAACAATGAAAGAGAATACCCTGCACTCCAATCCTCTCTCAAATGGATAATTCTGTTGATTCTCCTGACAGCCATGCTTTAGATTTTGATTTATGTTCTTCCAAAGCTAAAATCAAAGATTCCATCTAGTGTTATGGCTCAGCTGTATTTTAAATTTTTATGTTATTTTAAGTGATTTCCCTATCCACATTTGATTGCAGGGCACTTGTCCTACTCTAACCCCCCTTCCCCCCCTATTTTACTTGCTTTTGCAGCTCTCTAGCTCTTTCTAGGAGTTTTTTAGAGCCATTTTTGTGGCCAAAAGTACGGGTACCCATTGACTTCAATGGGGTTCGGGTTTGGGGTCAAGTTCGAGCCCGAACCTGGACTTTTTTTCAAAGTTCGGCCGAACCCATCAGACCCAAACATCCAGGTGTCCGCTCAACTCTAGTTAAGATCCTTTAACCTTTCCTGGTAAGTTTTATCCTGCAATCCATGACCAGTTTAGTAGCCCTTCTCTGAACTTTTTTTTAAAGTATCAATATGCTTCTGAAGATACGGCCTCCCGTACTGGGTACTATACTCCAAGTAAAGTCTCACCAGTGTTCTGTACAATGGCATGAGCACTTCTCTCTTTCTACTGCTAATACCTCTCTCTATAATACATATCTCTCTATATAACCAAGCATTTCCTTCTGCTCTATTACATTGTCTGCCTACCTTTAAGTTATATGAAATAATTACTCCTAAATCCCTTTCCTCAGATGTTGAGGTTAGCAGGGTATCAAATATTTTATACTCTGACCATTTTTCTAATTTACCTAAATCATTTGCCATTTGTCTTATCTTGCACTTATTCACATTAAATGTCAACCTGACGTACCCCACTGGTAACTAGACCTTGCTTCAAATATACTCCATTGACTACAACCCTCTGTTGCCTGTCATGCAGCCACAGCCTTACCCATGCAACAATATTGGAATCCAAACTTAAAGTTTGTAGTTTATTGATGAGCCGTCTATGTGGAACAGTGTCAAAGGCCTTACTGAAATCTAGGTAAGCAATGTCTACTGCATCACCCTGATCTATTTGTAACGGACCGTTTTGCACAAAAGGGGTAAAAACCACTTAGACAATAATCCCCTTTCAGAGACAGGCACAGCTACCGTAGAATCACCAAAACTCACGAATTGAATACAAGTGAATGCTCCAAACACCCGAACTGCATACAAGTGAATGCTCCAAACACCCGAACTGCATACAAGGGAATTCTCCAAACACTCGAACTGCATATAAGGGAATGCTCCAAACACCCGAACTGGAACCTCACGAATAGCTGCTAGCAGACGAACAGGGAAAGCACCCAAGCGGCTTACACTCCTGGCAATCAGTCTCTATCAGCATACAGTAAATCCCCCCAAAGACGAGACAGAGCTCCGTGTTGAGGGTCAAGCAGTGGTCTGTTTAATGAGGGCTACCTGCCCAGTATTTATGCAGGTCTCCCACCTGGTGGACACTCCCCTAGGGGACCAGATGGAAGACTGTAACAAAAGACAGACATGTACCAATTACAGACATACAATGCATCCTGGCTTCCTCCCCTCTGCCCTGGAGAAGTAATTCAATTATCTCCCATGACAAAGGCAAAACTCCATTACACATGTGGGGACACAAAGACAGACTATCACTTTAAAATACATAATGGGACAAATGGTACAGTAAATATATACATGTAACATATCCCCAGATAGCTCAGGTCTGAGTGCACATTATTAGGTGAATGGCACTCAGACCACACAAATACAGTTTAATTGCCATGGAGCCAAAGTCTTTAATTCCACGAACAAGCTCCATGGCATAGCTATCTTGGTTAAAACATTTCTCCAACATAAAATACCGAATTTACATGCATTCGTTAAATCCGTACGAATTAGAACCAGGGGTTGGAGGTTCAGCGGTGCCTGCACGTAAAAGTGTCCGGGTTTGGTGCAGGAAAGCCGGGCAGAAAAGCGCTGGCTGCCCGGGGAGCTCCAGAACACCGACATTGTGTGGCGGCTAAGTGTAACCGCGACCACCCAGTAACAATCAATTAAGCTGCGGTTAACCGCAGCTACTGGGTGGTCAATTGCCGGCACACGCTCGTTAAGCCGCGGTTAACCGCGGCTTCAGGAGGGCATACTCCAGCTTCTGGTCGCCAATTAAGGTCGCCGGCCAGCTTCCCACGGCTCTGTTTGTTCGGTAGATAGAATCTACCGAACGGCTGTGCAGAAAGGGAGAAATAAATCCTTCTGCACAGTAAAATTAACCCTTTAGCTGCCGGTCCATAATCCAAAGGCAGCAGGTGGGCAACCAGGTTCCTCCAATGCAATGTGGCGAGATTGGTCTCATCACACTATTATTTTAGTCACCCCATCAAATACCATAGGAACCCCACGAAAGTCATATCACCGAATAGCTTGGGTCTGAGTACCCACTTTGTCTAAATAGTGTTTAGATACCTTCGGTGGTTCGGGAATGCCATTTGAATGAAGTTTTGACTGGTCGGCCACGAGGTGATGCCCCAAAACACTACCATGGAAAACAAGGCAACGACCAGCCATCTTTCGGGGGTTCTCCCACGAACACCGAAAAATGCTCCCCCTGGCTGTTAGGAAGTGAATGCTCCCCCTGTTCGGTAGTTAATACCTCCTGAACACTGTTCTCATAACTGTTCGGGAAGTTGGATGGACAGCGGTACTAGTTTCCCGGGTGTTCACAGGGTCGTGTATCCGAAAATAATTCCAGGCAGGCGACGGCCATGTACCGCTGCCTGCATTCAGGAGACAAAATGGCCACCAGTTCTTGGAGCACGTGTGTTCGGTTATACGAACGGCAGCCACACAGGGAAAACACTTGAACTAATGAGTAATTTGTGTTTAACAGCCAGGGGTGGTCGTGATTGTGAGGTGTTAACAGGGGACCACACAAAGTTGGTTCCGTAAACAAATGGGGGTGTAAGTACAGCTGAACGAAAAGGAATAAAAGTGTATTAAGGGTATCCATTGTGCTACAGTGGTGTTGTTTTGGGTGACTGGGACTTTCCACCCAGTGCAGTGGAACTCTAAAACTTTGAATTCCACCACTCAGACTTGCCACGTAGTCATAAAAGTTTAACCTGTGTGACATTAAACCACTTCTACTTCACACTACACTAGTGCACAGCTTTAATCAGCTGTGGATCAGCTACACAACTATACTCAAATGATACTCTGAGAACTATAAACACTGAGGGAAAGAGAATCCTTGGCAGCGATATCCTGGTGGTCTGCCACAGGGCACTCAACCATGAACTATCTTGGAATGGGCTTGTTGTGATTTGTGTGTGTTTTGAGGTGATTTTGTGTTCTGAGATAATTGAATCAAGCGGTGTATGTTGTAACCCTCTCTCAGACACTGAGGACAGTCTGGGAAGAACTATACATCCCTAAGGAAGGCTGGTTCAGGATGAAACGCGTTGGATGAAGAACACAAACTCTTTTATGTATTTTATTTCCAGAATTCTTTGGAGGATACTTGGAGTCTTACATATGACATTGCTGCTCCGTCACATATAACACTACCATTGGAGATACATATTGCACTATTGTGTTTCTCTTGTTCCAATATTAAGGATATATCAAAGAGTAAGATTTGGCTCCATCAGTTGTACCCAAGGTAGGGAGATACACCTAACATGTATCCACTTCTTGTGAGTTCTCTACCATCCCTCCCCCCATACCTCATTAATCATGTGGTTTTACACTATGTAGAGTTTATTTTCTATTTATAGATTCCCTTATTTATATAAGAATTTTCACATATATGAGGTTGTATACCTCTGAGGAAATATATAATTCCTGTACATTGGGATTGTAACGGATTACCTGGCACCCCGACTGGGTACCTCCGTTGAAGGATGCTCCTAGCGCTTCCTGAGGACTCCAAGCACTGCAGCAGACACCACAACCACCGAACCGGAGAAGCATATGAATGCTCTCAAGCATATGAATGCTTTAAGCAGCTGAATAGGAAAAGCATTCAATCAGCTTACACTCCTGGCAAACAGCATACAATCCAATTCCCCCAATAACGAGACGACACTTCGTTTTGAGGTCAAGCAGAACTGCCTGTACTGGCACATACAGCCTCTTTTATTCCGGATCAGTGGGTTGCTGAGTGGGCAGAGACCAGCGGTACTCTGCCCTGGTGCCAGCGCTACCACAGGAGTAGCGTGGTTGGAGCCCAGCTGAGGAGAAGGGTTCGTAGGCTCCTCTCTCTGGACCTGGTGTTGCTGCTGGAGGGGAAGACAAGCTGTCTCCCCTCTGGATATACAGCCCTCCTGCTTTGGGCA